TTGAATCATGCCTGAGTATTGGAAAATTATTTCAGAACACGCTTGTGTAGATTTCCTGCCAGTGCCACTGACATCTCGCGACCTTCAAATATTATAACTTACTTGCTCGATCATCTCCCGCACTGACTGGCAAACTCGTCAGGTAGCTGTGGATGGATCGATTCAGGGAGATCGAAGGTAAATACATCGAAGCACTTCAAACACGTTTCAAGACGCACTTCAAATTTTGTAATTGTGTCTTGAAAATTGTTTAGAACAATTCCACGGTACTTCAATACGCTGTTGAATTGTATCCTCTGCTTGGGAGTCTCGACTGTTTTATTGCTGCATGGCTTTCCTCAACACCGTTCACTGTACATGTATCGCGGAACGCAGATTGGATGGCATTGGAGGTGAATTTGATAATTTGTGACTGTGTCATCAACCAAGTGAGGACATCAAATATCAACAGGGACGCTCCGAAAATCACAAACGCTGCGAAATAGATATGAAATGGTCTTACACACTGGAGGGTATTCCACATTCATTGTGTCATATCTTTAGACTGTCCGAAAGTTTGTCGTGCCGTGCAACTTTCACAGACTAATCCGATAATTGGCATGTGGCCCTACTGGCACACACTCATGCGTATGCCGTTGAGTTTATCTATATGTGCACGCACATGTGTGTATACATATACAATTTTATTACGTATGCAAAATTAGGCTAACTACATGTACATATTATATGTGTGTGCACTCACTCCTATGACATAGAACGACAGTGCAGGCTATGTAAAGTCGCATCAATGTGTGTCATCTGGGTGCACGGTGTACATGCATGCGCGCTCACGCGGGCGTTTTGTGTGCGCGCCTGGCATGGCATAACGCCGTTCAGTATGACTAGTGTTGAACCGTGGTAATTTGCCCCCACCCCCTCTTTTTCTACTGGCGTTGGATATGCAACTAATGACATAAACTCGGTTGTTGAAAACGAGTGCCATGCACCACAATGGATTGACAATAATATAATACAAGTAGCACTGTAAAAGCGCTGGTAATACTTATATTGCAGCCATGGCAGTTGTGAGTAGCTTTCCAAGGCAAGCCTGCTGCAGAAATTATTGCACTCTGACCAGCTGGAGTGGCCCAGGACTGCCGGTTGTGGAGAACAGGAGTGATGCTTGTATATACGCTTGTATTTACATGATGTACACAGTGTACTTCGAAGTAACGTTAGGTGTATTACTTGTGTGTTCTTCTGCCTGTGCGCGTGTACATGTGCTGGTCAGTGTGGAACCGCCATCCATATCAGATCATACAGCTGCTATCAGTCTCAACAGCTTGTATCTGGCAAATAGGGTTTTAGTGACTCGATTTTGCTTACTGTGTTCCACAGAGTGGCATTGCACACAGCTACTTGATGTAATAGTAGCATCTTGGAAATTTTGATAGTTAGCTTCAGTAGAAACTTCTCCAGTGTGGCTCTTAGCTTCATTACCACGGAGACTAAGCATTCAAGTAATGCACGAGTGACTAGATGTGAAGTGAAAAGCCATTGGACCATACCCAGTGGAATACGCATTTAGTATAGAAGTATTTCTTGCTATGTTGGCAGCAAACACTGTATAATATAATAATTACATTACCAGTAGAAAGTGCCCAATGTGCATTGCTTCAGCACTATGTTTTGGACAAAGCAGTCAACAAATTCCACATCACTATCGGCTTCATGTTGGAGAAAGTTTTGAAAAACACTAGAGCATACATGTACACTCAATACACATGCTCAGCTACATGTATGGCATTTAGTATGTGGGCGACTTCAAAGTTCTATTTTGGTAGTTTGCTTCGGTAGAAACTCAGTGTCTAAACTTGATCCAAAGCTCTACTACTATGTTCTGAAGATGTTGCAATCAAGTAATGTAAGACACGTATCTGCCGCATTGGAGCTAGTTGTGAAAACCTTTAGACCATACACTCAATGCACATGCTCAGCTATGGCATTTAGTATGTGGGCGACTTCAAAGTTCTATTTTGGTAGTTAGCTTCGGTGGAAACTGCTAAAACTTGATCCAAAGCTCTACTACTATGTTCGGAAGATGTTGCAATCAATTATTGTAAGACACGTATCTGTCATATGGTGGAGTCTGGGGTTCTAAGGCGTAGGACAATGTCCCAGTGCAATGTGCTGATTCTTGAAATATGGCATCGTTTGAAACTTCAAAGTTTTATTTCACGAGTTACCTTCGGTAGAACCTGCTCAAATTTGCTACACAGTACCATTATTAGGTTATGATAGCATAACCATCGAATACAGGACAAGTCCAGTGTCAAATACTTGTGGGCGGGGCTAATATGTGGGACGTGTGCGCTGAAATGGGATGATTCCGAAAAGAGAAAAAAGGTCACCTTCTAGCAGAATTCTACCCACTTCTACAGCTTATGCTGATATTTAGCAAGTATACTACTGGCCTGATGTTGGACATCAAGAAAAAGGGGGAAACTACCAGTGCTACGGCCAAAAAAGTGGTTTTCCGGTATTTTTTGGCCTAAATTGGCAATTGTGAGTATGCTATGTTTGGCCCCTCCCCCGAGTGAAACCGGCCGGTAGAACTTGATAAAAATTTGTCTCCGTACACTAGATATCCAACGGAACAAAGTACAATCGTTTGTAGCCACGTTTCAACCAAAAAATTTTGGACCCGAGGGGTAGGAGCCACCTTAAAAGCAACACACAATGATGAGAAAACAAGAGGGGTAAACCATGGTACACACAATAACTGTAGTTACTTTATCAAAGCCAGGGAGTCGTCAAATATTTGACGACTCCCTGATCAAAGCTGTTGACTCACGCATACACACATACTGTCATACACACACATGTAGCGTCTCTGACGTTCTCGCATCATGATAATTATTATCATCATTTGTTTGCATGTACACGTCATAATATGACGTGTACATGCAAACAAAATTAATGATGATGTCAGAGGAAATATTATTTTCCTCATCATCACAAGCACTGATCACCATACTCTCGCCCAGGGAGTAGTACAATACCCGTATTGTACTACGAGTCGTACTCCCTGGCTCTGCTCTCGCCCACATTGTTTTGGGCTTGAAAGTGATGACGTCAAAACGGCCAGGGAGTAGTAAGTTGACATCAGATTTCTATTTTTGGATCCACTAAGGTGTGACTTTGCTATTGCCTCAGTATGTGGGTGCATAGCAACCCACTCATGTCGCATGCAGGTGTGACTTTTATTTCGCCACCAGTTGTAACCCCGCCCCCAGTAGCCAAATCAGTCAGTTTCACTGGCTACATCACCTTGCTGTGAGTAAGACCGCTTGAAATGTGCTTGGATCCATACAAAAACTGGATCCAAGTGGATCCAGTTTTTGAATTTGAAATTGTTGCTATGCTGTGACTGTTAGGGTAGAAATGCATACATTATGACATGTACATGACTTGATTGCGACTACTGTACTGTAGTACATGCACGTAAATGTAAGCCTCGTCATAAGCTATAATTAGATCTCCCATGCTTGTAACCTTGTTGTCAGCACTTCTAGAACTAGTACTTCTACCACTTCCTTTTAGTTAGTCAATCACGTCGTTGATTCCGGAATGTTCCATACCTTACAGTAATATGCCTGATGAGTAATGCTGCTGACTAAATTGCATATCTCACCTTCTAGAACACCTCGCTTAGTCATTATGTTTATGTTACGCAATGCTCACTTCATCTACATGTATAGCAATGATGATCTAGGTTTGCCTTCTCCACTATTCTAGAACTTGTAGAAGGATGATTTCGTAATCCTTGTCTTACCAACCTTAGTTCTCTACCTTCGCTATAAAAGCTGCTGCCTTTCTAGTTTCCTACGGACCAGTACGGGATTAGTTTCAGGCTAGATTACAGTGTATTACCTGAGAACTCTTTCTCTCTCTCTCAGAATAAGTGTGCAATTCCGTATGATAACCATTATCCATTACTGTACCCTCGTGCTCTGCTGACTGAACGTTTCGGGACTTAACATGACGTAGCACTTTCAAGCCCCTACCACACGTACTTCGCTACCATAATAATTATGTAATGTTTGGCTAGCATAGTTCCAATATACATTACGACATCTTTTGATGTTTTAAGCACTCCTCACCTACAACGCTATTGTAGAAAAGTAGTCTTTACTCATCTCTTGTAAGTTCTGTTTGCATCCAAACACTTCTTCCAAACAGCACACGTCAGATATCTAACAAAACAACAAACTTCATTGCACAGTCTTCTATCACAATCTCTTTCCTATAAACCTCCTTTCTCTTCACTTTCTTCATGACATTTAGTGTTCGCCAGTCTTGTAAAGATCTTGGAAACTAACACTCGTTGCACTGTATCTAGACTACTAAATTGGTGACCTCCGACGTGAGTAAAGTGCAATATGTCCAGCGACGATGGTTCTTCCGCTTCCGCCTCTGGAGCTTCAGCTGCCGCTAGCTCCTCCGCCCCGGCCCAAAACCAACCACTCGCCCGCAACGACCAACACGACGCACCGGACCGTCCGGTGTCTGCCATCACCTTCCGACTGCCGCAGTACTGGCCCGGCGACCCGCAACTTTGGTTTTTTTTTTTTTTTTTTTACTGAATACCACAGTACCATCAGATGCTGCACAGCGGGGGCGGTGGCATATTGGATGGAAGTGGGGGCGGGGCAAAAGTAACTCCTCCGACCAAAGGTCTCGGAATCATCGTTACTCCTGTGCGCCGATGCATAGGAGAAAAGAAACATGTGCATCCAAGAGGGAAGCACCGGCTTTGCAAACGATAATCTGGAGAATTTGAGATTGAGATAGGACAAAACAATAGTAAAAGCAGTGCACCGTAGGAAGATGGAGTGAACTGATAATCGGATTTTAAGGCTGAGCGAAGGGGATCAAAGAGGGGTAGAAGGGAGCTGGAGTGCGGTCAGTATAATTAGGCTGGTGTGTTGGCAGAGAATTAGGCTGGTGTGTTGGCAGAGATGTTTGCACAGGCAGAAGCGCATTTTGCCAACCATCGCATCACCAACCCGCGGGCCAAGTACAATGTCGTCGTTAGTTCGCTTGCTCCTGAATACGCCGCTGAGATTCGGGACTTGCTCCTAGCGCCGCCAGCCGAGGAGCCGTACCAAGTCCTGAAAGAGGCGCTCACCACACGCACCCAAAAGTCCGATCAGGCACGGTTGCGTGAGCTACTCTCGACAGCGGACATCGGGGACAGGGGACAGCCGACCAAGTCGCGTCCTCCGCGATCCGACGCATGCAACAGCTTTTGGGCAGTAGACCCGACTGTCCTGCGCGAGCTGTTTGTACAGCGTTTGCCCGTGACGGTCCGCCTGATTCTGGCTGCAACACCTGCAAGCCTCAGCCTGGACGTAGATGAGGCGTTTCAACCCGGGTTGAGTTCGACCCGGGTCAGATTTCAACCCGCCATGTGCACAAAGTGAATGGCGCGTTTACATGACGCATTGCGCTTGACCCGGGTTGAAATTTCGCCCCGGGTTGATTTCAACCCTCCCCCCAAGGGGGAGGTATATTACGTATCCGATTGCAACGACCAGGAGGCTGAAAGTAGTGGCTGCAAATGACCGATATCCGTCACTTGCAGCTCTGCATCGGAGGCCTGTAGCTGGCCTGAAGAGTTGTAAAATTACTCCTTCGTAGCCGGGCGAGTCAGAGCGAGGGCGATTCACGGCTTGGTCAAAAACTGTCGGCCTGGAACGTAAACGTCGATCTGCCGACACAGTTCACCTGGTTCACACGCCTGACCTGGCATGCTGCCTTGCGTGAAAGGAACATTTTTCGGAAAGCAAGCTTCTTCTCCAAAATTCGAAATTTCCTTCCAAAAATGCCGTCGTCCTTGACCTCGAAGCTGAATGTTGTTAGGATAGAAAATTAGCGAAGATGTAGCCGACCCATTCTGGCAAGCCGTGTGCCTTCTGGATATGCAGTTGTTCGCCATGGTCAACAATCTTCTTCTCCTTCGTTCGTACTTTCACTTTCCTGACAACGAATACAAGCGGCACCCATGCTCAGGTTAGTGTTTATTTGTCTGTCTATGCACATACGTGTAATACAATGTAATGTTCGTGCTGCAGGCACTGGCCGATCATGGAAATAGAGGAAGCAGCCAGCTCTCTTTGAATTCTCGTGCTTTCAACAAAAATATTGTACACACTTTCCTTGGCTTCTCTTTCCCACCGCCACCATGCATGCACAATCGAGCTTGCTTTAATGCCCTGCAGTGCAGAATGCTCCCACCACCGCAACTACCAGCACCGCCACCACCACCAGCAGCAGCAGCACCACCACCACCATGACCACCACCACCACCACCACCACCGTGACCACCACCACCACCACCACCGTGACCACCACCACCACCACCACCACCACCGTGACCACCACCACCACCACCACCACTGTGACCACCACCACCACCACCGTGACCACCACCACCACCGTGACCACCACCACCACTGTGACCACCACCACCACTGTGACCACCACCACCACCGTGACCACAACCACCACCGTGACCACCACCACCACCGTGACCACCACCACCACCGTGACCACCACCACCGCCGTGACCACCACCACCGCCGTGACCACCACCACCGCCGTGACCACCACCACTGCCGTGACCACCACCACCGCCGTGACCACCACCACTGCCGTGACCACCACCACTGCCGTGACCACCACCACCACTGTGACCACCACCACCACCGTGACCACCACTACCACCGTGACCACCACCACCACCGTGACCACCACCACCGTGACCACCACCACCACCGTGACCACCACCACCACCACCGTGAACACCACCACCACCGTGACCACAACCACCACCGTGACCACCACCACCACCGTGACCACCACCACCGCCGTGACCACCACCACCGCCGTGACCACCACCACTGCCGTGACCACCACCACCACTGTGACCACCACCACCACCGTGACCACCACCACCACCACCGTGACCACCACCACTGCCGTGACCACCACCACCACTGTGACCACCACCACCACCGTGACCACCACCACCGCCGTGACCACCACCACCGCCATGACCACCACCACCGCCGTGACCACCACCACTGCCGTGACCACCACCACCACCGTGACCACCACCACCACCACCGTGACCACCACCACCACCACCGTGACCACCACCACCACCGTGACCACCACTATAGAAGCATTGTCCTTCTTGGCTGCAAGAGAAAATAATAGTATGCCAGTGCTGTAATGCCCTGCAGTGCAGTATGCTCCCGCCACTACCACCACCACCACCACCACCACTATGGAAGCATTGTCACGCCCTATTCATCGATCCACAAGAGAAAATATGCCAGTGACTTACTAGCACCTCCATGCTGCATGTGGACCTGGACACAGCACTGTTCCCTCTGCAGGAATAGGGGCGGGGGTATTTCATTGTCCCTGCCTGAAGTAATAATGACTACATGACATGATGCCCAGCTAACTTTGCCAGTAACGAACGACCCTTGATCGGGCATGAGAAAAGTGTTGCTATTTGGGAGTTGTCGTCATTCACAGGGTTGAAAATATACGGCTATATTGTTACTAGGTCTGAAGATAGTGTCACTATCCGTGGGTTGTTATACCCGTGGTTGACTGCAGATACGTTTGGATTATTCTATGAGTATATGAAGGGTATATGTTCAATATTTTCCCGAGGACGTAGCACGAGGAAATTATGGGGAATGCAGTACATGTATACAATGGTGCAATCCATTTCTCCCAGGGCACTTTCCCAAGACTCCTCCCAATATTCATTCTTGGCGCGACCCATGTGAACTGAGCGGGGTGTATCGTTGAATATACCCCTCTCAGAACTGAACGTCTACTGATTGGCTGAAATCGCCCAAATCATACCGTGCCATGGATCAATGCATGTCAGGGAGTCGTAGCACCCAAGGAAACAACACGAGATCATGATACCCAAAATGATGTACTGTAAAAGCAGAAATTTTCAGTGGTGTTTTATTTTCGGTAACTTCGGTGCCGACAATTTTTACCGCAAAAATGCACCAGTACTAGCACCCTTACCTGGAAAGCGGGTATTACCGACAATTATTATTTCCCTCCACCGAACCGCCGATTTTGGAGAATTCCGAAAATATTACACCACCGAAAATTTCTGCTTTTACAGTACACAGATTGGATCCATGGAGATTCTACATGATCTGTGGTTTATGCAACTCGTGATCGCGGACTTGATCCACTGGCCCCAAGCATGGGTCAGTCAAGCGATGCTATATGCCAACATGTTTGTATCGCACTTGCCCCTAAGGCAGTAAGGGCAACTGTCACTGGCAGCCCGGGGTTGAACCCACATTATTAATTTGTGAAATTTTCTAGGGTGACACGAAAAGCTTCACGCACTGGGTGGTCACTCTCTATTCATGTATACCACTCTGCCAATAGTGCATAGCACTCTCTTTTGAGCTGCCCGGCTGGCCCTTGTTATGATTTAGGCTGAAAGTCTACCGTGCCGTCTCCCTTATGCTATGACTCCATAATGCATAACTTATGTACAGAAGAAAAAATCACGGGGCTCCGTTGATGAAATTCTGTTTTGTCAAGTGGGCCTTTTCTTATTATTGTGAATGGCGTGTAGTGCCGTAGTACAGTTCCTTTTGCTACATAACGTTTGCAGAAGTCACGTTTCAGCAATTGAACTACTTCGTAGGAAGATCTATGTCTCTGATCTTGTCATTTGGCCCGGCTGGTGCTGTGCATTAACAACCATTGTCAGGCACCCTCGAAAGACCAACAGCGATGAGTTCATGACCCAAGCATTATTTGGGCCGTTAAGTTGACTAAACGGGAGTGTAGCAAGCTTTGATCGGCGTACTTCCTTCCGTACGTAGTGAAATGTTGTCCGAGCTGGATAGATTCTATCTCCTGAGTGTAGCAAGCTTTGATCGGCGTACTTCCTTCCGTACGTAGTGAAATGATGTCCGAGCTGGATAGATTCTATCTCCTGCGGTTTAGTACAAAAGTTTCACACCTAATACTGTAGATTCGACGTCTCCAAGAAAAACCTCCATGGAGACTGGAAACTATAGCAGATCATAAATGACGCAGCAGCTCAGCTGATTTCCCAGCTCGTGTCTAGGTTCATGTACTTTGGTCAACGTGTTGTGGCAGACTCCATGTACAAAGCTGCATACTCTTGGGGTTATTGATTCTTGCTGATAATTCCATCAACGTTATTGCATAGATATGAACATCATAATCATTGAATGTTGGCAAGACCCAACAAGGTGTCCCTAATGACTTACATCAGATCTTCACAAAATGCACATACTGTAAGACATGATTGTATATAACGAGGAAGCAAATCTAACGTTTTAACGGATGACATTTCTTCGTTATAATAAGATCCGTTGAGTCCGTACTGCTTCATATATGCTGTGTGTGGATATGGCAGAATACTGCAAGATCGTTAACATGTCTTCTCGTTAACCTATGAATTTTGGACAATCGTTAAATTTGCGACTCGTTATAATAACATGTCTTACAGTTCATCTTGAAAAGCCATATTTTGGTTTCACATACACGTCTCATTTCTATCACAGAGATCAGCAGCCATGGGCCATTGGTGGCAATACTGGTAGGAGTCGCCCGAGGCTAAGCCAATAATTTCCGTTCTATACCCAATATACATGCCCGAACTGGGCACAAATCTTTCCCATTCCTTGGTGCTGACCCCTTTGATGCGCCCCCGAATCCCTTAGCATTATTAGTACCTCCAATTCATTTCGTCATCAGCTCACCGCATGCTCAGTACTGTGTTGTAAAGTATGCAAATTTTCGGTACTTTTAAATTGCAGCCTCCCCGGGGCAAAAACACATCTCGGCCACATTGAAATTTCAGCCTGTACTGCTGATGCCTGCATACACTGTCACATTGAACCTTGCAAAACAAATTTTAGGCTACAAATGCCCAGTAAATAAAAGGGGAGAAGGCACTGAACGAAGTGTCAACCTACGAATACAACCTCAGGGCAACAACGTGCTCTTTCTCTTTCTGCTTGTGTAAGCAGAAAGAGCACATTGTTGCACTGAGGTTGTATTCATAGGTTGACAGTTCATTCAGTGCCTTCTCACCTTTGGTTACGTAATCTTGTTACCTTTTGCGTTTCCTCTAGTAAATAAAAGGGGGTTGTCAAATGACAACCGCTCTATTCAGTTGCTATTCACTCTTGGCGCATGCGCTGGACGAAAAATTCTTTTATTAGTGATGTCGAAAAAGTATGCGGTTGTCAGTTGACAAACCCCTTTTTATTTGCAATTCAGTTGCGTGATGCCCACCACTTTCCGAATTAAAATGCACAGGCCGACAATAGCCGAAAATAAAATATGTGCCGAATATGCAGTACCTTGCGCACTCTGTTAGAAGACA